ATAAAAATTAAATATTCTAACACCATAAATATAAAAGAAATGTCACATAATTTACACCCACATAACTATGGATCTTTCGAGAGATATTTTTCTCGGGAATCCACCATTACGGATGCTGAAAAAAATAATTTGTTTTTTCAATCCCATATGTCCTCACGAAACATGAACATGACAGATAAATCATAATTTAAATTCTATAGATGTAGATGAATTTTTTTTTTTAGTACGTATAGCTAGGTTAAGGAGTTTCACGAGGGTTACATTTCTCCCCTCCTTAAAAGAAATTTCATCCTTGAAATTGGCTTACGTAAATAACTCTAGGTATTTCTCTTTCATTTCCTTTTCTAGTTCCCGGGTCATTTCTTCGAGGTTATGATTCTCCTACTTTAACTAGGATAATGTCGTTATTCCTTAAGCGTTTAACTCACGTATCTAAGATCTAAATTGGTTTTTCCTCATATGTTAAGTTTAGGGTCAAGCTCGATGGCATTACCTCCGAATCTAGCTAGGCTTTCTAATACATTTTCTTGACATAGACACATGAAAGGCATCGAGTACTCCTAATAAGTATGGCGGTAATAACAATCGATATGCCCTATCGCCTATACGATCAAGTTTCTCAAACGGTCTAATATATCATGGACTCAATTTTCCTTTTGTCCCAAATCCCGGTACGCCTTTCACCGATAAAATCCTTAAGAAAAAATAATCACCAATTGCAAACTCCGGATCCTTTCTCCTCTTGTCGGTGTAGCTTTTCCGTCGACTTTGGGTCTGTCTTCATTCATTGGCAAATCTTAGCCATTGCCTCACTCATTTGTTACACCAATTCTAGCCTCAATAACTTTCTTTCCCCTACTTCATCCCAATGCATTGGGGATCTACACTATCATCCATACAAAGCTTCATAAGGAGGCATCCCAATGGATGACCGATAGCTATTGTTATAGGTAAACTCCATAAGGCATAAGTATTTCTCCTATCTCCCAAACTAATCGAGTACGCATGCTTGCAACATGTCTTTGAAAATCCGAATGACTTGTTCAAATTGTCCATCGGTCTACGGATGGTAAGTCGTGCTAAATTTTAGCCTTATTCCCATGGTTTGATGCAAACTCTTCAAATGGTTGTGATGAATCTAGGATTTGGATTTGACATGATTGAGACCGGGACCCCGAGTAGCCTCACAATTTCATTTAGATACAATTTAGCGTATCGGCTCAAACTATAAGTGGTCTTAACTAGAAAAAAGTGTTCCAATTTAGTCAATCGATCCATGATCGCCTAAATAGCATCCGACCCCTTCTCCGATCTTGGTAATCCCATGATGATATCCATCGTGATATGCTCCCATTTCAATTCTGAAATTGCTAGAGGTTTTAACGATCATGTCGGTCTTTGGTGCTCTACTTACACTTGTTGACAAGTTTGACACCTTGGCAAATAGTTCATAACGTCTTTCATAATTCTCGACCACTAATAACTCTATCTCAAATCTTGATACATTTTAGTACTTCCTAGGTGTATCGAGTATGGGGATACATGTGCCTCTCTCAATATTTGTTCCTTCAAATCTACTATCGATGAAACACATAATCTTCCTCTAAATCTAACCACTCCCTTATCATCTACCATAAAGTCGGTCTCCTTCCCGACCTCTACACCTCTCCTCCATTCTTTCACCCTTTCATTTGTTGTTGCCTAACTTGAATTCTTTCTTGTAGGGTCGGTTGGACTAACAAAGTTGACATGATGCTCTCATAACCCATAGGGATGATCTCTATTTCTAGCTTTTGTAAATTCCTCACTATCAATAACCTGGATCACTTGCATTGTTGCTATCAATTTTCTACTCAAGACATTGGCCATGACATTGGCTTTTTTTGAATGGTAGTTAATGATTCAATTATAGTCTTTCACCAACTCTAGCCATCTTCTTTTCATCATATTTAGCTCCTTCTACATGAAGATATACTCGTAAACTCTTAGGTTCCGTATATATCTCACATTTGGCTCTGTACAAATAATATTGTCAAATCTTCAAGGCAAAGACAACTGCTACTAACTTCGGATCATGTATTGGATAATTCTGTTCATATTCTTTCAATTGTCATGAAGCATAGGCCACTAGCCTTTAATTTTGCATTAACACCAATCCTAATCCATTCTTGGAGGCATCGTTATACACCACAAATTTTCCATCTTCGGACGAAATGGTTAGTATCGGGCACTGTGGTTAACCTTCATTTCAATTCTTGAAAGCTCTTTTCATAAGCATCTCGTCTATTGAAACTTAATACTCTTCTTTATTAGGTTAGTCAAGGGCCTTGCTATCTTAGTAAAGGCTTCAACAAATCTTTGATAGTAACCAGCTAGGCCTAAGAAACTTCATACCTTTGACACATTCTTCAAAGTAGGCCGGTGTTGAATGGCTTCTATTTTCTTTGGGTCCACTGCAAGGCCTTCCTTTGTTATCACGTGGCCTAGAATGCTACTTGTTCCAACCAAAACTCACACTTTTTAGGAATTTTGCATATAGTCGTTGTTCCCTCAACGTCCGCAAGGTAGCTCATAAATGCCTTTCATACTCCTCTTCACTTCTAGAATAAACGAGGATGTCATCGATAAACAAGATCATAAATATATCCATAAACTTCCTAAAGACTCGATTCATCATGTGCATAAAATCGATCAGGGCGTTAGTCAATCCAAACGGCATTACTAGGAACTCATAGTGGCCATATCGTGTTTTGAATGCCATTTTCTTTACATCTTTTGACCTTACCCTCGACTGGTGATACCCCAATTACAAATTGATTTTAGAGAACACCGTCGCACCTTGTAATTGATCAAATAAATCATCTATTCGAGGTAACGAATACTTATTTTTTATCATCACTCGGTTTTACTCCTTATAGTCGATACATAGTCTCCGACTCCTCTCCGTTTTCTTTACCTATAATACTAGAGCTCCCCAAGGTAAGGAACTAGGGCATATAAATCCCTTATCCAAGTAAGTCCTATAGTTGTGTCTTCAACTCTTTCAACTCGACCAAGGTCATCTAATAACAAGTCTTTGAAATTGGGGTCATGCTCGGCTCTAGATTGATCTCAAATTCTCTCTCTCTCTCGGTGGCATCTTAGTCAAATTTTTGAGAAATACATCTAAATACCGTCGCATAACCTTAATATCTTTCGGCTTTGCCTTTTGTTCCACACTGGCTATCTATCACACATGCTAGGTACCCCGGATAGCCTTTTCCTAGCATCTTTCGAACCTTTAAAGCCGAGATGGTTAGTATGGCTCGAAACTTTGAATCGACTTTAAACTCTAATTACCGATTCCTAAGTAAGTCAAAAGTGATCCGTCTACCTCGACGATCTATAGTGGCACCATGCCTTATCGGTCAATCCATTCCTAAGATCAAATCAAAACCTTAGAGATCTAACACTATCATATCAGCATCTAAACTCTTATCCTTTATCCGCACGGGACACTCTTTCATTATGCCTGTTGACTCCATAAGTTCTTCGAAGGGACAACTATAAGATGCCCTATGGCTAATGTCTTAGGTTTGACACCTAGACTTTTTACTAATTTTTTTTATATGAATGAATGTGTAACATCGGAATCAATCAAAATATAAGTAAGCCAAAGATTGAGATATTATCATAAATTATTGTCACATCTCTCCGATTAGCCTTTTCTTGCGTCATTGTATACACCCAAGTCGATACCCTTCTTGGTCTTGGTTCTACACTTGTGGACGAGTTGGAGGATATGTGCCCTAGCTTATGATAAATATAGCAAATCCTCACATCCGATCGACACTCCCCGGTGTGAAACCTCCCACACTTAATGCACCGAGGTTCGGTACTCATCGTTTATCCCGACTAATTATCCGATGAGCGGCCTCGATGTTTATGGTTCCGGTCCGGTCACTCTTGTATTGCCTAGGCCACCACTTTGAGTAAACTTCCTAGGTGGGACTCATCTCACTAGTTTAGATGAAAAGGTTTCGAATTTAAATGCTCCCCTCTTTTGTCGCATCTCCCTTGCTATCTCCCTCCGATCTTTATCCGCCAACATAGCCTTAAGTACCATTTCTAGAAAGGTTTGAGCGGTTGATATTCGCACCATACTCCGAACTCTTGGGCTTAGCCCTCATAGGAATTAATTCTTTTTCAAATTTTCATCCCCCGCTATGAAAGAGAAAAACCGACACATTTGTTCAAACTTTCACACATATACACCTATGGATATACCCTCCTATTTTAATTCTAGAAATTCTTGAATTTTCCTAACCCTTACATCGACGGTAAAGTACTTATTGTAAAAGGTCTCCTTAAACCCTTCCTAGGTTAAGTCGGCACGTTTACTATTAGTTGTACGCCTCCCCAACATGCGTAAACATCTTTAGTCAACATAAAGATAACGTATGACACTTGCTCATTATTGTTGAATTATAGGTATTCAAATATGGCCTCAAGGGACTTGATCCATTCCTCAACTACAAGAGGATTAACACCCCAGACAAACTCTTGAGGATTCATTTTACGAAAGTGCTCCACTATGTCATTCATATGTCGGGGCGGAGGTTACTTGTTGCATTGCTAGGAGTCGTCTTATTTGCTCCATGTGGGTTTGTTGTTGTTCTTGCATTGCTTGTTGCTATTGTTGCATTATATCTATCGGACGATTCAAAGCATCTTGTGGGTTCTCATTGTTAGTATCGGGACATAATTTAAACAAGAACATGACACATAAATCATAATTTAAACTTAATAGACGTAGATAGAATTTTTTTCAATACGTATAGCTATGTTAATGAGTTTCATGAGAGTTGCGAGTTATGGAGTGTTGGCTTGGTGCGGCATGAAGGCTTATGCAAGCATGAGACCGGTGAGATGGCATGTGTGGGTAGTAGCGTGAGGCCGATGAGAAGGGCTTTCAAATGAAGGAGAGAAAGATCAAATCTAGAGTTTCTTATTACGAGTAGATAGAGAGAGGGCAAGAAAGCTACCGGTTAGGGCTGGTTTGTGGATGAGAGGGTTGGAAAATGTGAGGTGTGTGAGCTTGGTGGGGGGTAATAGGTTGGAGAGGGTTGTCTGTGGGCTATCAATGAGAGAGGGAACAAGTGGGGGTCGGAGAGAGAGCTTTAGTGTAAGAGAGAGAGCTTGGGTATTGTGGTATGGTGGCTAGTAGTTTTTTTCTCTTCTCCTTAAGGTGATAATGAATAGTGTTTTTTAATAAAAAAAGACACATGGGTGGCTTTTATGTGTAGGGTTCTTGCTAAATGTCCGTTTAGTCCTTGGTTTCTTCCCATGTATTAATTTGAGGTCGATTTTGCTTCTTTTTTTTTAATTTGAGCCTCCCAAATAATTGAGACTTCTTTTTTTCTTTTTATTATTAACCTAATTGATCATTTTTTTTCTTCATTTTCATTCCATTTTTTTTTTGTTTTTTATCTTTTTTTTTACGAAATTAAAAATTAAGGAAAAAGCTATGAAATGTGAAATTTTGGGTGACAACGAGTTGCCCCCTCTTTATAATGCTTTCATTACAAAGTCATTGAAAGTTTATTTTTTGACTTTGTATAAAAAGCTTTGTAAAGAAACAAAAATTGAAATTCAACGAGATGTGATAAACCACTAATTTTATAAGGTATGATAGACCATTTTGACCTCACGAGATGTAATAGACCACACTAACTTTGTAAGATGTGACGGACCACTCGACCTTACAAGATATGACGGACCGCTCGATTTTATTAAACATGAAAGACCACTCTAACCTTGTAAGATGTGACGGACCACTTTGACCTTGTAAGAGGTGATGGACCACTCGGTTTTGTAAGATATGGTAGACCACTCGACCTTACGGGATAAGATATGCCACTTTTACTTTACAAGATGTGGCAAACCACTCCAACCTTGTAGGTGTGATAGACCACTTTAACTATGCAAGACATGATAGACCACTCGGCCTTGTAGGATGTGACGGACCACTTTGGTTTTGTAAGACGTGACGGACCACTTTGACATTATAGGATGTGATAGACCACTTTGACTATACAAGACCCGACAATCCACTCGACCTTGCGGGATGTGATAGCCCACTTTGACTTGGCTAGGGACATGACGGACCATGTCTATTTGGAATAATGTGACGGAACACATTGGCTTTGTGGGACATGATAGGGAACGTCAATTTAAAAAGATGTGATCGACCATGCTGATCGAGAAAGACATGATAGGCCATATCTATTTGGAAGGACATGACATACCACATTGACTTGGCTAAGGTGTGACCATTCTTGCTTATATGATGAATCATATCAATTTTATAGAGCATATTGATTTTATGGATGTAATAGACCATGTCAATTTAGAGGGACGTGACATACCATGTTGACTTAAAGGTACATGACAAACCATGTCAACTTTGCTAAGGACATGATAGACTATGTCTATTTGGGAGGATGTGACATACCATGTTGGCTTGAAACGACATGATAGACCACGTCAATTTGAAAGAGATGACAAAACATGTCAATTTGAAGGGACATGACAAACCACGATAATTTAGAAGGACATGACATACCATATCTATTTATAATGACATGACGGACCATGTTGGCTTTATGGGGATGTGACAAACCATGTCAATTTAAAGGGACGCGAAAGACCACATAGACTTGATTAAGGTATGATTGACCATTCTAACTTAGGTCGATGTGATGGAACACATTGGTTTAGAGAGGTGTGATAGACATGATGTTTTTTACAAGACGTGACATATCACTTTGACTTAAATTAATAGGATAGATTAAGTTGTTTGATAACATATAACCGACCATTCCAGCTTAGACTCGATGATAGATCATATTTATTTGAAATAACATGATAAAACATGCCTCTTTTCTTTTACAAGATGCGATACACTATTTCAACTTAAACTAACTCGAGAGATCATATTTTTTGATAAGATATGACTAACCATTTAGGCTCGAATTAACATGGCGAGGCCACATTAGTTTTAGCTAATGTAATAGGCCCTACTTTTTAACAAGATATGACTAACTATTCTAACTTAGACTAATGTGCTAGACCACATTAATTTTAACTAATGTGATAGACCATACTTTTGACAAGATATGACCGACTATTTTGACCTATACTAATGTGAGAGACCACATTGGTTTTAATTGATGTAACAAGTCCTATTTTTTGATAAGATATGATCGACTATTTTGACTTAGACTAAGGTAGCAGTCCACATTGGCTTTAACCGATGTAATAAGCCCCACTTTTTAACAAGATATGATTGATCGTTTTGACCTAGACTAACGTACTAGACTATATTAATTTTAAATGATGTGGCATACCACATTTTTTACAAGATTTGAATGACCATTTTGACCTAGACTAATGCGTCGGACCACATTGATCGAAAACGATATGACAAATAATGTTTTCCGACAACATATGATTGACTATTCGGCATAAATTGATGGGAAGTTTTCGGAGAAGCATCAATCATCACCTGTCAAGACATAGATTCCCTATTTTTTGTGTTCATTTGTGTGTCGCTTGGCTTGAATAAATTCAAAATTCTAGGCTAGCTACTTTCATTAAGCTCATCTATTTGCCTTTCTAATTATGCCCCATATTCTTGCATTCATTAGGAATTGTTGCCTCAACTACTATCTCGTGTCATTTGAGTGGTGTCTACTCCTGTAATCGAGCAAGTGATCACCTTTTTTATATGCCCCTTTAGTAATATCCTTAATTGTTCAAGCTTTTGTAACCACATATCAAGAGTCCAGACTAAAAATAGGTAAGATAGCCTTTTGTCTCCACTTGTCTATAGTTCATCATGAGAAAGCTTGTAACAGATTTCATGAAGGTCGACCTCTTGTAGACCAAATCCAAGTAAGATCTTTATCAAATTATCTTATGTCAATTCAATGCATTATCACATTTCATAAATGACATCAATGGCAAGATCATGCACGAGACCAAATAAGAGGTTTTTTCCTCTTCTTTTTCTTTTTTAGGTACTACCATACTTGTGAAAACAAGGATTTTTTTAGAGTCGAAAGAACATGAACCATATTATGTTGAGGGAATCAAGAATAGAAGAAGCAAAGTCAAATGATTGCACAAATCATTATTTAGCCATAAATCAGATTATCCCTTTGTTGTTCTAGATAGGAGAGAAGTTGAAATGTTTTGGTCTTCCGGTATTAACACATATTTGCGATAAGTGTGACATAACATGTTTCGAAGCATTAGTAGTCAACATCCATTTTTCATCTACCTTTCATTGTTGTTGCTCATATTGCTCGTCTTCTCTCGGTGTTTATGCTTGATTTTGTGAACTTGTCTTTGAGAGATTTGTTTTTTTGATTTTTTAGAAAATCATTTTCATTTATTGTGACCTTCATGGATTAGCCTATCTATTTGAAAATTTCCCATCAAGGTAAGTTGGATTGTTCAAGAGAAATAATTGAGATGTTCATAAAAAAGTAATCTCATTCAAAAAGGTGTTTGATTTATTTGAGCAAAAGCCAAAATGCATATGTAATTTTGAGATGCAATTCTCATGGTGATCTATTTTGAGGCAAAGATGAGCGAAATGTGTTTGGATCACAAAATTTTTTGAAACAATTGGTCTTTTCCGATAAGTGATTGACAAAAGTTTGGTCCTAGAATGTGGCATGCTCGGATGAATTTCGGGAACTAAAAGATTTTATGAAGAAAGTTTAGCACAAATAGGTAGTCTTGCCTAGAAAAACTCGGCTTATTTCTTTCTTCCCCCAACTAATTGATGGAAATTTATGATTTGATGTCATAAATAATGATTTGTAATGCACAAACAAGTCAAGTTTTATTGAAAAATATTTTTCTTCTTCTCATATGAAAATAGAACTCATTAACACAAACAAGCTATCTTTGATGAGAAAGGGCTTCCATAGGCACATAATGCGAGCTATGGCTTTTCTTATGAATGAAAGGATATAAAAGGATCAAATGGTGTTTGAGATTTTAAAGGTCTAGAATCACTTAGTTGTTCATAGAGATCATTTTAGGCATGACGCCTTGACTTTTTCATCTTGCCAATCGATCTCATCCTCGAATCTCGGCTCTCCTTCCATGTTCACTCTTGTCATTCTTTTTTTTTTTTTTTTGGTTTTGTGATTTCGACTCGGCATTTCTAACTCCAAGTTATGAGAGGGATCATTTTGGATAGCACTTTTTATCTTAGTGCTTTCACTTTTGTTTTTTCATTTTCTCCCTTTTGTTTTTTCTTTCGAAAGTCATTCCGGGATTTTCTCGACAAGTTTTTTTTTGTGAACAATCATCATCATTTCTCATCTTGTTTTTCTAGGAGAGCATATTTGATTACTAACAAACTTCAAAATCACCTCTAGTGTGAAGGGTGATCCTAGTCTAGGTCATTATCGAAAGAAATCCTTTAGGCTCAAAGTTAGACAACAAAGGATAAGTTTTTGTTTGTAGATGAGTGTATCAATAATGACTTTTCTTCATCTCAAATATGATCTTATCCAGGTTGATAAGCTCTAGCTTCATTTAAAAACTATGATTGAAATCTAGAGAAAAAGGAGTATAATGTGGGATCATGATCTGAATGTGTACCACTCATCATCATTTAAGACATCGAATCAATATTTTTTTTTTGTTATTTTTGTTATTATTATTATTATTATTTTTTGCATTGATGTATCATCTTAGTCAAGCTTTCTTGGAAGGTTTTGTCGGGAATATGAGAGGAATGCTTTTTTGTTTCAAAAAGAGAGGGAATGCCCCCTAGTATTTACATGACATGCTTTGAAAATTGATCAATTTTGAAAGATTTTGAATGAGCTTGCCATTATATTCACATTGATTTGGATGACATAAAATGATAGTGATACTTTCAAATAAATGTTGATTTCAAATCAATATTATGACCATGCCAAGATATTAGGAATTTCTTTTTTCAAAGAAATGACCCAATCCATGAAAATTATAGTACTTTTGCAAATGAAATTCAAAAATTCAATATGAGACAAGATTTCATTCATAAAATCAAGATCCATTCATGCTTCTCTAATGAGCTTTGGATATTCTCCTTGCATTCATTCTCATGCAAATTATAATCGAGTTATGATGGCCATTCTTTTTCTTTTTTCTTTT